TTTCAAAATTTACTACAAAGCTAAATAATCATAATGGTATGGTACTGGCATGAAGACAAACATTATAGGCCAATGGAACAAAGGGGTGCCAGACTATCAAATGGGGAAAGTTACAGTCTTTTAAAAAAAAGTGTTGGGAAAACTGGATATTCATATGCAAAATAATGAAGTTAGACCCTTATACCATATACAAAAATTAACTCAAAATTTATCAAAGACTAAATTAAACATGGAAGCTAAATTATAAGACTTATAGAAGAAAACTTCATTATATTGGATTTAACAACAATTTTTTTATATATGACACCAAAACCACAGGCAACAAAAGTTAAAACAGATAAACTGGACTAAATTTTAAAACTTCTGGAAAATTAAAAAGTTAAAAATTAAAGATGGAAAAAAAGAAATACGTTACATTTAAATAAGTGATATTATAAGCTCTGAATGCTTTCAAATGCACAATTTACCATAAGATTTATAAATATTAAACTAATAAACTACACTCAAATATTTTTAAATATAATTTAATTGATAGAGGAGCCTAGAAATGCCCAAAGATAACAGTAACCAAACAGATTCCTCACAAAGGGCAGAAACACAGAGCGTATTCTCTCCATCTTTTGGAAGAAAATGACAGTCAAAATAAGGGAAAGTATAATGTTCAAATGAATATCCTAAAACCTTTCATTTTCCTTTTAGGAGATAAGTGCACTTGGAATCTTTTATCATGCTAAACCAAGCAAACTTTTCTCATTAAAAAAATTGCAATGATGACTATATGCAGTAGGGTAAATTTTTAGCAATTTCTCACTGTGATATATTTCTTAGCAAAATTACGGTTCACTAAAAACAATGAATGAAATCACATATTCATTTCTATGCAAAAAGCCTTTCAGAGCAACTTCATCATTGTAAAATGTGGAGAAATGCCATATAAATGCATAATTTTCAATATCTCCTTAACTCTATGAGCTACTGTGTAATGCTAAGAGAAGATGATGCTTTGTTTCTTTTAACTTTATTTTTATTGTTGACACTATTACAGATATCTCCATTTCCCCACCCCCACTTTGCCCACCTTCACCCAGCCCCTGCCCTCCTTCCATGGAAAAACAGGATCAAAGATGAGCTTGGTCTCCTCCCACCAGCACCTACCAAAAATAAGTTATTAGCAGCATATCTGGATGCATAATTCAAGTATTGATGTAAAAGTTCATCAATTCAGATTCTATTAGTTCAAAATGTATGATAATTTTCTTCAATTTCATACATTAAAATTTCTAAGTTACTCATTATCCTGCAAATTTTCAGTAATGAGTTCAAATTCTAGTGTCTGAAATTCAGTCTTTTTTTCAAAGCAACTAGGTCATATTTTAAGAATTTGCTTCTTCTAACTTGGAAATTGTAAAACTCCATGAAAATCAGACAAATGAGACTACTCATGAATTATAATTTTCAACTATTCAAGTTAGTTTTACTTCTTAATATGTATTTAAACAAGTTATTTATCAATACTTTAATAATTAAATTTATTTTTTTTTTAGAAATTATTTTGCTTTTTAATTAAGTCAAACTAGCTCTGCCACCATTATTTTGAACAAATAAGATTTTAATATTCCTGTGTAGGCCTATACATATACATAGTTTATTACAAAGTTTTGTACTGTGGTCAAAATTTGGACTATATCATTTGAATAGTTTATAAAGTATGACACAAAAAACAAAATGACATTATTTTACTGATACTGTTGAACTAAAGCAATACTAAACCTGAGGTAGTTTTTGAAAAATAAATATAATGAAGTAAAATACTAACAAAAAGTCTGTGTATTGAACATTCTGACTACCTGAATACTGTACAAATGGAGGCTCCAAATAGACTTCAATGAAAAATTTACATATACATACTCAAATACTTTTATTTCTTTTTTTTAAAAATATATTTTATTGATTTTTTACAGAGGGGAAGGGAGAGGGATAGAGAATTAGAAACATCGATGAGTTAGAGAGAAACATCGATCAGCTGCCTCATGCACACCCCCTACTGGGAGTGTGCCCGCAACCAAGGTACATGCCCTTGACTGGAATCGAACCCGGGACCCTTCAGTCCGCAGGATGACGCTCTATCCACTGAGCCAAACCAGTTAGGGCAATACTTTTATTTCTTATAAAAATCCATAAAATCAACAGTACAAAGCAATAATCAAAAGCAACAGTACAATATATATATAGAAGATTAAAAACAAGTATAACAAACAGTGATTATATAAGTGTTGTCTTCCCTCTATTTCCCAATTTTGGATAATATTTTGTTTAAATTTATGGAAAAGTATATATATTTTTAAGCAGCAGGTTCTGGAATCAAAAAAGGAATTACAGGGACAGTGGCCTGTCCTAAAATGACAAACCAAAACTGTTGGGTTTATAGTCATACTAAGCCAAAGAGATTTCACATTCCTTAGCACACAATCGATTTTTTATCAATAATGGAAACTGCCTTTGTGAGAATATTTGTTAAGAATGGATGACATTCTCAATGTTGCAAGCACCCATTTAATTATTTAAAAGGTCAATAAATGAAAGACTAATTTAAAATGTTTCTTGAGTTCAGAGATATTTAAATTACAAAAGAAAAGGCCTACATCTAGCATTTTCTCCAGAGCAGTCAGGAAGAACAGATTGAGTTTGTTAACTGTGGGCATGGGTGTCCAAATGCTTTACCATCAAAACTGTGAGAGTCGGGGTGCTGAGCACACTATACAGTGTACAGATGATGTGTTGTAGAATTGTGCATCTGAAACCTGTATAATTTTGCTAACCAGTGTCACCCCAGTAAAAGTGGGGGGGGGACTGCTGGAGTTGCTTTCTCCTTGTCCAACTAATGATGTTAAGTCCTATTTGACTAATAAATATTATTTAATTGTTTGCATGTTTGTTTGTATATCCATAATAAAAGTGTAATATGCAAATCAACCAAAGGGCCGAACAGCAGAACGACCGTCTGGACGAAGCCAGGGCTGCAACTGCTGCGGCTGTGAGGGATTGAGGCAGCTGCAGGTGCTGGGGCTGCGAAGGCCTACTATTGCATGAATTTCGTGCATTGGGCCTCTAGTTACAGGTAGGTAGGTAGGTAGATAGGTAGGTAGGTAGATAGATAGAGATAGATGATAGATAGATAGAGCGATAGATAGAGCGATAGATCGATAGATAGATGATAGATAGATAGACAGACAGATATTGCTCCACAAAAGAAGAACTTAACCAACAACGAAAAGAAACCTGATCTGCACGTTCACCTCACCCCAAAAAGAGGTGCACCTTTGAATGGATAACTATAAAACTGCTTAAAGATAATATAATATTAAGTTTAAAAAAGTATGTCTCGAAAGATCACATACAACTTGACACATTTTTTATAAGATTAAGATCAACTAAAAATACATGTACTTTGGGAGAATACAAGGAAATAAACACCAATTTCAGGACAACGGTGAGCTTAAAAGAGAGAAGGCGAAGAGACGGATTAATGAAAAAACAATAAGGTTAGATTTCTACCAATGACAACATCATAGATTACTACATAGCTTTCATTTTGGGTTGGGGATTCCCAGGTGATTATGATATTAATTTAAGATAGATAGATAGATAGATAGATAGATAGATAGATAGATAGATGATAGATAGATGTGGGGAGCTGATATAGGGTTAAGCCTCGGACTGACCTGTGGGCAAAGTCACAAACAAGTCCCAGCTTAGAGGGCACATTCCTCTTAAGCTTAGAGGGCACATTCCTCTTAAGCATAATTAGACTTGACCTTATGACACTCCCTAGATCTTACTGGGGAAGCTAATGAACAAGTGAAACTCACAAGATCAGTGTAAACAAGTGAAACTCACAAGAACAAAAACAAGTGAAACTCACAAGAACAGTGAACAAGTGAAACTCACAAGAACAGTGTAAACAAGTGAAACTCACAAGAACTGTGTAACTATGGAAACCACTACCTTGTTTACCTCTCACTATAAAATAAAGGCTCAGCTTGCCTTGGGATCTCTCTCTGTGGCCTCAGCCAGGCACAGGGAAGATCCATGGAGACTAAGGAAAGCTAGAGAGTTCTGAACGCTGTCTCTGTGTAAAACATTCTTCGCCGACTCCGCCACACCTTTGGGAACCCCTGGACCCCTGGGGCTGGCCCTCAGCAGATAGATAGATAGATAGATAGATAGATAGATAGATGAAACTAGACTAAGCAAAGACCAATGGTGAGAGTGTGTTGTGAGCCAAGGATTATTGAACCTAAAATGAGATGACATAAAATGACTTGACATAATATGAAAGGAAATGAAAATGAAAATAAAAATGGTTTACCATTTGTATACTAACACACAACCTACGATCTCTGAATCAACTCAAAAGTCACTCATCCAGGTTGTGTAATTTTCTGCTTCTATTTCCCTAACAATTTTCAATTGTGCTGCACAAAGTAACATGTTCTCCAATGGATGTGAGACCTTGTACCATCACCAATAGACCTTCTGCTCAAGGAGTGGTATCTACACAGGAGAGAAAAAAGTAGCACAGAGGAAAATGCTGTTGAGTCATCTACTGACTCTCTGGATTAGGTCTGGCAGTCACCAAAAGCCTCTGAATAGGTAACTGGTGATTCTTATTCATTCATTCAATACTTATTAAATGCCGGCTACATGTCAGGTGTCATGCTGAGATCCTTCAGATTTAAGATAGGACACGCTTAACAAATACTTGAATCCAGCTCCAGAATCAACATATTCCTCAGGTCAAAGAATCAAGATGACTCTTCAGGCCTTTTAGTTAGCTTCGTGCCCACACAAGAAAATGGTGAAGAAGCTCACTTATCAAATAAGGTTAAATTGGCCTCCCAAAGTTAAAAGATGTCAAAGCTCTATTACCAGAATTGAGGGGGGGAAATTGCTTCTTCAACACATGACATTTCATATGAGTTTGTTGCTGCTTGTTTTACCTGCAATTTCCAAAAGTGGGTTCATATGATCTCCTTCTGCCAGCTTCACAAATCCAACCTGATTTCTAAACGTGTCAACCCCTTCAAAGGGCAAAATCAAGTGTTTTCCTTGAAGGATTTCTTCTATGAATGGTTTTAATTCCAAAAGAGCATCAATACCACTGGCAAGAGATAATATATTTTTCAGTAACATACTAAGTGATCAAATATACAAAACTAAACAAAAAACAAAGTAATCAGATTTAGAAAGATAAATTAATTTTGATGCTTGTACTAGTTGTTTTAAAGCACAAAATACCTTCAAAATCTAATCTATCTGATTAAAATAAAACTAAGGTTAATTTTTAAACAAAACCTATGGAAGAAGTGAATTAAGTCTTTACCTAATTAAAATTTGTATTATATTAAAGACATGAAAGGAAATATTATTTTATAGTCCACCAGGAATTTTTTAACATAGGAAATACTGCATGCTAATTTCAGAAAAGAATTACTGATAATATATTGCAAGAAACCTAATACCTTTGAGAGCTTACATTAGATTGTGTGGAAACTTCTAGATTCTTTTTTAAAGTACTAATATTCTTTGCAAGGCACTCTACTGAAACTTAATATACATTATCTCTTAAAATATAAGTCTCCATAATAAAACAATTTACTGTACTTGCATTTAACAAAAATGTAAGTTTATATTCACCAAATGCAACTACGCAAGTTTGTTACATCTGTTTCGCCTATGTCATTATAGGGTTATTTTATTTCAAGTCCTTGATTTTTCCTAATAAAAATAAATATTTACTATATTAGTGAATTAGACATTATTAAGCTTAGAATATTTTATAAATTAGGATCAATTATTTCCACCTTGAAGAGGATTTTGGTATAGGTACTTTATTATGAGAAAAAATTAAAATCTCACTAGAGGGCAGCAATTACTCAAAAAAGAAATAAGTACATTCTTACATTGTTGAAGAGGGCTTTAAAACATCCTTTTGGTGAATACTATTCATTTAAATTATCTTGATAAGTGATTTGTTCACCAATAACTATATGTTAAATGTATGCAACAAAATTTAGGTATTTTTCTAGGTCTTTTATATCTCTAAATTAGTTTTCATATAAACTTTTTAACTGTCATCTGTAGTTTCCATACTGAGACTCATTTCTGTCATAACATAATATACACTTAAAATAGCTCTGGAAATGTCAACATTTTCTCATTATACCTCCAAATCTACATCCTAAATCCAATCTTTCCAAACTGTATTTATGTTCATCCAAAAAGACAGAGTGTGCTATGAGTTAAAGCATTCAAAAACAGAACAGCCACTTCTGGCTCATCTATCATACATGGAGGGAATTCAAGATACACATTTTAAATATAACTATATATGAAAGCAAACCATGCTGAAGGTTAGGGCTTTTCAGAGACACTGAATTCCATATCCCATTTTTCTTTAAATAAATATAGATGATTTAAACTCAGTCCAAATTTTCAGTCCCTAGTTGCATAAATCAATAAATGTGTTCTAATGAGATATCATCAATCACAGAGTGAGAAGGAGTCATAGTATCTATGGTAAGTATCACTAACTTTCAAATTTTTTTAAATAACAACTTTTCAAGAGCAGCTTATGAAAAGACTTCTATATGGTAAAATTAGTAAAAAGTATACACATATAGAAAACAGAATTCTGGACCTGGAGTTCAGACCCAAAGATTGTATTTGAAGTTAAAACAGGACAGCTATTGTCCAAGGAAGAAGGAATCCTGCCATTGAACTTAAGACTGCAACATCAACTCTTCCCTGGGTCTCCAGCCTGCTAGCCTGTCCTATAGATTTTGGACTTGCCAGGGAGCTAATTATGTGAGCTAAATTTTAAAAATAAATTTAGATAAAGGTATACAGATTAGAGATAGAGATAGAGGTATATCAATATATCTAGATATCCATATAGATATACATCCTATTGGTTCTGTTTCTCTAGAGAATGCTGACTTATACACCACTCTAACACACACACAGGGCTTTTGTCTTGTGCCACATCTTTTGCTTCTTTTCTTATAAGAGTATCAGATTTTGTTTTTTTCCTTCTGACTGGCAAAGTGAACAGCTAAAGTGAGTAAAGTAAAATCTTCAAGTCCTCTCTGCCATTGCAGGGTGCTCAATATTTGCTCTTGGATAGATCAGGTTGGGGTAAATAAGAAGACTGATCTCTAAAGACATGAGGTTCTACTGTCTAAAAGATATAACTACAAGAATCATAGTGTAGCTGTATATTTTCAGTTACTAATTTATTGTTTTCTCCCTTTACTTTCCCTTTACCCCACTCCCTTCCCATTCAAGCTCTGTTCTTCATTCCCTCAGGAGACTCTATGTCAGGGTAGAAAAAAGAAGTAACCCTTCACCCATCCTGGCATTGGTTTTCACAGAGCTTAAGCCTGAGCTTATTCCAGAGGGCATACAGGAGGTAACAGGAAAGGGAAGAGCAAGGCTACTCCACTCCAGAGTGGAAAGCAACAGTCAGTGACTTATTCTCAGCCTCATGGCACAACTCTGGAATTGGGGGTGGGGGAAGCACTTGTACACTGACCAAGCAGGATGACAGCTCTAACAGATAACAATATTGAGTGCCTACTAGGTGTCAGGTCCTATACTAAGAACTCTTACATGTATTGGAACTATTATTTTCTCCATTTACTTAAAAAGTAAATTTCTTTTTCCAAAATCAGACATCTTTAAAGAGGTGTTTGTGCCATAGTGTGTTCCAGAGTCTTTATCTAGAATCCTAACCTAAATGGTCAGACTCCAGAGGGCTTATATAATTAACATGGGCAAAAAACTGCATTGTCAAGGGCTACCACTAGATAACAAAAACAGAGTTTTAAAGTCTACATTAGACTTTAAAGAATATTTACACAGCTAATTCGGTACATTGACTACTGGTTGGAATAAATTAAAGAATACTTCTTTAGAATGTAAATGCCTTTTGGGTTCTGCTATGTTTATTCATACTAAAGTAATAATTCTATAAACAATCTTCAAGAAAGACATATTACTCACATGTTTACTTCATCGTCATTTAACTTCATCACCAACAGGGTAATATGAAAGGAACCATCACCGGTCATTGCCTTGGCCAGGCGCTTATCTTGTTGTATTACTGCATTCTGCAGGATCTTAATTCCTTTTGTAACCTAATCCACATACAGACACATAGAATAGAGATCAGGTAAGCAAAATTTCCTTATGGCAAAGTGTAAATCAAGAAGAAACATAAGCAACCACCAAAATTAGAAACGTCAAGATTCTTCAACCAAACAAAACTGAATTGTCTACTGAATTTGAATTCTCAAATATCCTAATAGGTGATTTGGAAAGCTTAATAGTATGCATAAGTTTGTCAAATCATGCAATGCTTATCCATCTTAAGAACATTGAGCCTAACACCGTTATTTTACAAATCGGGTCACTAAGTTGAGCAGCAAATCTTTCAATGGCCATGCATCTCTTCAGAAACTTCTCCTTGAATATACAGTATGGTTTACTATAATTAGGATCTTTCCTTTTAAAAATTTTATTTTTGCACAGAATGATCAAGCCATCATACAACAGTCCATTTCTGTTGGAAGTCATATTTATTAATCCCCTAGTGCCATGGTCGGCAAATTGTGGCTCACAAGCCACATGCGGCTCTTTGGCCCCTTCAGTGTGGCTCTTCCACAAAATACCACATGCGGGCGCGCACATACAGTGCGATTGAAACTTCGTGGCCCATGCGCAGAAGTTGGTATTTTGTGGAAGAGCCGGTATTTTGTGGAAGAGCCACACTGAAGGGGCCAAAGAGCCTCATGTGGCTAGCAAGCCGCGGTTTGCTGAGCCGCAGTTTGCCGGCCACTGCCCTAGTGAATGTGTCTAAGAACCCATTCTTCATGGCTTTAAGATTTTTAAAACAGCAACAATTTCAATAGGGATGACTAGTGTCATTTTTCCAGACATGTGAGGAGGGAGAGTGGCAAAGATGTCCAAACACGTATATTAGAAAAGCCCTTACAATTCGCATCCAGACAAAACCCCAGGTCCTTTACCAGCCTTCCCCTCTCACTACCTACCCTCCTCCTTTCCAGTTAGACCCAACTCTAGTCAACTTCTAAATGTGAGTGTACTGGAAAACAGTTCACATAGAAAACGGCAAACTGAGCCCGGCCCTGACAAAAGAGAGCACACAGAAGCCCTGAGGCAGCAGAAGTAGTCAGAGAGAAAAGGCAAAGGGAGAGAAGGGCTGGCAACAGGAGAAGAGTCAGGAAAAAGGCAGCAGAGATAAGAAAGCACTGAATCAGGAGCACAGCAGACTGTCCTTGATACCAGACTAGCTGTTTTATCCTGAACAATGCTCCCATTATCTGAGGAACGTGACTGGGCAAATCCTGGGATGTGTCCTGGGATGTGACTGCTGGGGAATCTTTACAATAAATGCACGCCACCCAAAAGAATCTCAGCGTTTCTCTATTCCTTGCAATCTGGAGGACCGAAACACAGGAAACAGTGCTTCCCTGGTAGGAATTTACACAGTAACACCTAACATGATATTTTTCTACGCAAGATGTCACTTGTGTGACACCCAGTAAAAGAATATTGAAGGCCTGTTAATAACATAATGTAACCGTACACAAAGATCTTATAGAGCCACAGTTTCCTCCACACGACACGGATACAACTAAATTATAAACTCCTCCAGGGCAATACCTATTTCTTCTGCCCCACTACCTTACCACAGTGCCTGGTAATAATAACAAAAACAACATTTAACCAATGAAACCAGTCACTAACCTGTACTGTGTGGCCACTAGGTTCTAATCTAGGCAGTATAGTAAGCTCTTTACACATAGTTCACTGAAGCCTCTCTACAATCCTATGAGGCACACATTGGTATCATTTCTACTAAAAGAATTAGAACCACAGAAGTTTTTTTTTAAATCCCTTTACAATCATATACTCAAGACAGCACAGGAACTTGAGAAAATGGTAAATTGCAGTGCGTGGGAAAAGATGAGGGAGGCACCTGCAGGAAAGACCGGAAAGGGTGTGGAGGAGGAGATGGAGCTGAGAGCAATGGAGTAAGAGTTTTCAAGAAGGCAAGGAGAGGGTCAGAGATGTGGGTACTGACTTAAGAAATGAAACCTTGAGGGGAAAAAGACTTTTAAAGGAAGGTTTTGGGAAATCTTACTGGATACTGTGTAATGGAACAACACACTATCCCTCTCAAAACAAAGCCTTTAGTGTACGTTTATATTAAATTTGAATTTTGAGAGTTCTTCCCCGGTGCAATGAAGTGCTGAAATTGGCTTTTGGAAATAATGAAGCAGCTCAAGAAGGTCCAAGTTCATATGGAAGGGGCCTAAATAGGTGCTCAACAATGTCAGACCTCAAAACAATATCATTACATCTTCTAATTTTAGCTGATACAATTGGTAATTCTGGCTTAACTGATAACAAAAAGGTGATTTAGGATGAGAACTTTGCTATGTAACACAGAGAGATGTAAGTGATGGGTGCTGGACATGGCTCAAAAGTCCTGGATTTTAACCGCAGGCCTGCCACAGGTGTAACCCCATACAAGTCACCTAGTGTCACTAAGTCTTGGTTTCTCCCCTGGCAAAATAGGAATAATAAAATGTGTATTGGCAAACTTATAAAGTATGTTAAAGATCACAGTAGATAAGCTACATAGTAGATGAACTACTTTGTAAACTCTGTAACACTTGCCTAACAGAAGGTTTGCAACATTGCAATGTTATTCAAATCAGTGGTTCTCTTCCTTAGGCAATTTTGCCTCCCAGGGGACATTTGGCAATGCCTGGCCACATTTTGACTGTCACAACTGAAGTTTTGCTACCTGCATCCAGTGAGTACAGTATTTGTATTTTCTTAGTCTTAAAAACTTAGTTTTCATTCTAAGCTCAAATACTAATTATACATAAATTCAGGACAATACTCAAATTCCATTCATTTGTATATTCTACATTTTAGTGCAATACCGTACATGGTAAAATAGTTTTAGACCATTCATATCTTTGAATAATCCAGTAGCTTGTAAAGTCACTAATTAAAAACTGTAAAACACTTTGAAGACTATTTCTCCGAAGTCACACAGAACTTACAATGCAGGATTAACATCAAACCTATGAAAATTCTAAAGTTAATCTAATCAAGTTACATATGTCTGATTATTCTTTGATGGGACAGATTAATTTATATATTCCTTGATATCATCTTAACAGTTTTTAAAATACGTTCTATTCCTAATTACATTCTTAAAAGATAAAAAGGAAAAACATTTCAAGACTCTGACGTCTTGTCTATATGCTATTAAAACAAGTACTAATGTCATTAAAGACCAAAGGGAATTAATTTTTATACTCACTGTTTAAAATTCATAAAGTCATTAAAGCTTATCTTTTACCATAACCTGCAGCCATTGGCAATACTGCACAATGCACATATTAATGATGTAGTACTACAGAGTCATATTTAAATGTGACATTGAAAGAAACCTTTTAAAATAAACAGCTTTTTAAAATTCTTTTTTCTTTTAATATATTTTTATTGATTTCAGGGAGAAAGGGAGAGGGAGAGAGAGATAGAAACATCAATGATGAGAGAGAAGCATTGACTGGCTGCCTTCTGCACGCCCCCTACTGGGGATCGAGCCCGAAACCCGGGCATGTGCCCTTGACTGGAATCAAACCTGGGACCCTTCAGTCGGCAGGCTGACGCTCTATCCACTGAGCCAAACCAGCCAGCGCTAAATTCTTAAATATTTCACTCACTGAGTAATTTCTGGTTGTTTAGAGGATAAATCAGACACCCATCTGCTAAACCTCACCGCTAAGCCATATTGCATTGAAAGCAACCCAATGAGGAAATTAATTTTTATATCTTTTAAGCTTTCTAATTGAATCAAAGTCTATTATGAGTTCAAAGAAAAGGCCTTAAAGTTAGTGTGCAAGAGGGCGTGTGCGCATGTTACATTGCTACCTAGCTTTTCTTCAAAGCTAAATACTCTCATTTTTCTTGCTTGTCTACAACCATGAAAAACAACTCAAAAAGTTGATGATTTAGTAATAACTGAAGTAAAACTAAGAAATTATCCTCAAATAGGAGAATTTTTAATATCTATCAAGTGCTTCACATACATGATCATATCAAATACTTTCGCAATTACATTTCCCAGAAACTGAATGGGCAAATCTACTTGCATATTCTCCTGACCAAAATGATGAAATACAGAATTAAATGTAACAAATGCCTTTTTAAGCCTCTAAAAAAATCATACTTTTCTACTAGTATAGAAAAACTGTCTTACAAAGAAATTAATACACTCCTAATTTCAATCAACTTCTGATTGTTCCCTTACATTTTCAATGCTGATTTACCTTAAATTATTACTTCTCATAAGAGAGCATATAAAATCTAGTCAGTTAAGAATCATTGAAGATTTATTATAGCTCCATTAAATTTTTCTCTTTTTTATTTTTATATTTTAGCTAAGTAATTGCCGGTAATGGAGAAATACATATTTTCATATACTTAAAATTAGGATATTTTGTTGCAGTCATTCTAATTCATTTTCCAATTCCATTATTTAAAAATATGAAATCATTATTTTCCACTAATAAAGAAATCAAAACATCTAAGAACATGTTTAAAAATCAAAGATCCATGTAAGTCTGAAAACTTTTTTCTCTAAAACTAGATGCCAACAAGAGGAGGCCAAAAGTAGAGCAACTCATTGTGAATGTGCTAGCTTCCCAAAGCTTGTTTGCAGGTCACTTAATTGAAATTTGGAGTACAATCTCCCATTGAAACAATGTTATAAATGCTGCTCCTTTTCCCAGGCCTTCCCACAAAAGCTCATAAGTAGTTTAAAAAGAAAATTAACATTAGATACTTGAAAACAAACAAAAAAGGTGCTCATACAAAAAATAGAAAATGTACCTCCTAAAGTCCCATTCTTACCTCTAAACCCCATATTTAATATGTAAGCTTTCTGTTGCCTACCAATAAGTCTCTTGAGAGACTTATTACATTATTAAAATATTTGGTTTTGAGGTCACTTGCAATCTGTATTCCCCACTATTACAAGTTTCCCTAGCCCCTCAAAGACAAACAACTACTGTTGAGCCTATATTATAAAATCGACATTTATAACACTGTATTTATTATTTGTAATGTTCTGGTTGTAACTTAGTATGCCAGAAACACATCTTTTGCCCCTGAAATGACATTATTTTGTGTTTGCTCTAGGCCAAGCACTGTTGTAGGTACTGGGAATGGGCTGAAAAACTCTGTAAGAAGACTAACAAGTGTCAAATTGCAAGGATGACAAATGACAAAAGGAAAGACTTTCAAGTCTTTCGGGGGAAGGGGCAGATTGACCTCGTCAGGGTGGTCACAGTGGAGAGGCTTGAGCTGAGATTTTGGCTTTAACAAACCCAGAGAGGAAAGAAAACTCCCCACCAGAGAAGGGCAGAGGGACCCCGGTAAGTTCACAGAAGGTCAGAGGGGGCTCCAGCAGAAGGAAGGAGGGCTGAAGTGGAGGTCAGACTATGCAGAATCTTATAGACTGTGGTAAAGACTTTGTCTTTATCCTAAGGTCACTGGGAAAATACTGAAATGTATAGACAGGGAGGTAATATGTCCAGATTTGGGTTTATAAAATAATAATAGTCAATTCCATTTTATACCCGAAGAAACTGAAACTACGGAAATTCAGTAACCTGCCTACATCCACAGTAGAGTTTGTGACCCAGCTGGTATTTGAACAAGGTCTGTCAGACTCCAAAGCTTGGACTCTTGTCATTTTCTATACAACATCCCAGAGGTTGAGAAGCAGAAACAAAGGCTGCTCAGTGAAAACTAAGGTTTGCATACAGTTCTCTCATCCCCTTTCCTCCCGTCACCTGAACTAAGAGGTGAAGGAAAGACTTTCTCTACCAGCTTTCTTCTCAGTTCCCTTCCCCATCCACCTTTCCCCACCATATCACCCCACCAATCTTGACTGGAAGAGGTGAGAAACCAGAATTAGTAGGGTTGGGGTCAGGATCAGGGTTAGGATTAGGGTTAGGGGGAAGGCATGAGTGAAGGATGATACAGAACTGCTATTCAGACCACCATGAAAGCCAAGAGTAGAGGGGTGGAGAAAGATAAAATGAAGGGCCTAATGAAAGTAATGTATGAAGTTTTCAACAATTTTTATACTAATTGACTCTGCAGTGGAACACTCTCTAACCAACAAATCAAAATAAGGAACTGAAGTCTCTCCCAATCATAAATCACAGGTCCTTGGGAAGACCCTTCTATTTCACAATCAGTTTCTTAAGGACCTGGCTTGGGTCTGACTGCTCCGTTAGCAGCAACACCTTTGACGTCCTACTCTCCTCTAATCCCCATATGTACACATGATCCTTTATTTCAAAGAAAACCTTTCCAAATAACTCACAGTATTTTATTTTTAAAAATATTTTTTATTGATTTCAGAGAAGAAGGAAGAGGGAGAGAGATACAGAAAATCAGTGATGAGAGAGAATCATGGATGGGCTCCTCCTACATGCCCCCACTCAGTATCAAACCCACAACACAGGCATGTGCCCCGACTCCTGTGTTCATAAGTCAGTGCTCAACCACCCAGCCACACCAGCCAGGCAGCATTTTAAAATCTATAATAATAAAGGCATAATATGCTAATTAGACCAGATGTCCTTCCAGACAACCTTCTGGATGAAGCCGGGGCTGCGAGGGAAGCCTGGATCCCGGGTGCCTGCCGGCGGCCAAAGGAAAGCCAGGGGTCCCGGGTGCCAGAGGGAAGCCGGTGCCGGCAGCCAGGGGAAGGAAGGCCTACTCTTGCACGGATTTCATGCATCGGGCCTCTAGTAATATATAACTGTTGGTTACATTAAACTAAACACTTTTAAGAACTATTTTACTATTAACCCCCCAGTATGTACCAGTGAAATCAGAATATGATTCTACGATCTTGTACTGTTAGGAATACAATTTATCTTTTCATTTGTCTTCTTTCCCTGGCTAAAGCTTATCTAAAAGACTAGATATTTCCTAGAATGTCCCAAGAGAATTTTTTTCTTATGATATTTATTTCTTTGATCTCAATTTTGTTTATTTTTAAAGATTCATTAGCATTCCCTAGAAACATTTTAGTTAAGTAAGGGGAGAAGCAACCTGAAAGTGCCCAGTAAAAAGAGATTAAAACCCACAATCAAAGAGAAATTCAGTTCTGGCTCTTAAATTGGGTCAGTATGTAAATGCAGTCAGTCTTCCAAGTCAGGCGTTGTTTTGTAAGGCATTTCAATTCCTACATCACTGCTCTAGCAGTTGTACTTTTTTTTAACTTAAAATATTTATTGTTGACAGTATTACATAGGTCCTCTTTTCCCCCCATAATCTCTTTAGCCCACTACTCTAGCAGTTTTAATTAGATACTGTAGTTTGCTTTCTCAGCCACATATAGAGGGGTTTCTTAATGTGGGCTAATTAGCTGATCTGATTTCCTATTATTCATACCACATTAATTTTTCAGATTTTTAATAGATTTCTACCAAGTCTGTCATGTAATATTAAGTTGATATGACAGTGAGTAATTTTTAAAGAAATTATGCTGCAGCCCTGGCTGGTTTGGCTCAGTGGATAGAGTGTCGGCCTGGGGACTGAGGAGTCCCAGGTTCAATTCCGATCAGGGGCGTGTGCCTTGGTTGCGGGCACATCCCCAGTAGCGGGTGTGTGGGAGGCGACTGATTGATGCTTCTCTCTCATCGATGTTTCTGACTCTCTATCCCTCGCCCTTCCTCTCTGTAAAAAAATCAATAAAACATATTTTTAAAAAAAGAAATTATGCTGCAATCATCATTACCATATACAGGACTAAGCAGCAAGAAAGCCCAGTTTACTTTCCTAGCAAAGATTTCAGAATTCCTCTCTTTCTACCTGGTCACTGCTCTCAGCTCCTGAAAGTTTCCTCTGTTGTGGTGAACAAATGCTTAGAAAGGACCATGACATGCCATCTGGCAATACTTTCTCAAGTGGCTTTTGCAAAATTGTTTAAATGTGATGGTTGAAATAATATTTTTCAAAATTATTTTTTAAATACATTCCATTTAAATACAAATATTCCCTATAAGCCCCAGCTAACATGCCACCAAAGACTCCTAAAAACTGAGAGAAAATGGACTTACAAGTAAGTATTTAGTGTACTGTAAGTATAATTTAGAACTTTATAGTAAAAATAGTTTGTAAAAATATAGCACCTCTTTGTTGGTGATTGGAATGGATAGGAAATAGTTTGGTTGATAGTCTTTGTACTTTTTTTTCTTCTTCTTTATTTGATCTTTATATTCATTTTCTTCACTTCTTTCCAAATTTACTTGAGGTACATCAGTGACTAGAAGATAAAAATCAAACAATAATATACCTAATGTATTAAAACAAAGTTAATATAGGAAACAAAAACTATATAAGTACCAATCATTCACAACGGTCATTTTCAAATCTAAAGCAGGAGCTGGCAAACTCTCCCACAAAGGACCTCAGAGTAAGTATTTTAGACTTTGCATATCATATAGTCTCAGTCAAAACTACCCAAGTCTGTTGTAGACAAAACACAGATGAATAGGTATAGCTGTGTTCCAGTAAAACTTTCACAAACCAGCCAGCCAGTGGGTCACAGTGTACTAACCTCTGATCTAACACATGACCAACCACCATTCTCACCTCTGTGCCACAAAATTCATGACCCTAGGAAACATTATTTTTTCATCAATCCTGTGTGACTCAATATGTGTGACTACTTGTAGCAGTGCCACTCAAAGTTTAGTTTGCAGCCAATGTCACACTACAAGCTATTTGTTGTAAAAATTAAGAGACTACTTTGGAAACACTCATAGCACTTAGGCAAAGGAATTTTGTCTGTTGAATTTTGGTTTCTGTTCTGTTGGTCATTTTTAAAACATTTTTCTAATAATTCATTTTTATTGCCTTTTACAAAAGTATCAGTGGGCAACAAATAGGAATTACAAACAAAACAAAACTGGTCCTTGACTGTAGATCATTTCAGAAGCACTTAAAGCACTTCTTTTTAAAGTCATATTCAAAAGACTCATTTATAACATTCAGCAATTCTAATTATGAAGCTATGCCCCCAGAAATAATCACCAAATCAGTGTGAAATTGTCTCTCCTTTTTTAGAGATTTTGCCTGGGGCTTCTATATGTATGCAAAACTACCATTAATTGAGTTTTCAGGCTGTGTCTTCCTGAACAGTAGCTTACTGTTCAAACTGGAGTGTCTCATAGAGACTTTGTAAAAATACTAATATATTTTCTAAGGTATGCTTTTGGAAAGGAGTGGGAGGGAAGAACCACCTAATTACATTTAATCTCACAGGTTGGTTTCATCTTTGGATCAATTCTAATCGACCACAGTGACCACCTGCACCCAATGTCTTGAGAAAGACTGGCAAAAGTCTGAGCTAAACCAATAGCATAATTCCCACGTGTCTATACAACCCGGATCTTACTAAGCCTCTCATTTCACATATGATGAAACAATAGCAGAAAATCCTTTAAAAACTGCTCAGTATCACAAAGTTGAGTCTGGTATCTAGACCTCAAGTCTCCTAGAATACTTTCTATTGGATCAAACTACTTCTCCATTGCAGTTCTGCCTAAGTAGTTACTATTACACACAAAACTCGTCTTCCAACAAGCATCTTCCTATCAAGTCACTTCAATTCTTTATCTGATAACCAGAAAGTCTGGCCTGTCCTTGGAGATATAGCTGATTCTAGGTCTGGGGCACAAAATGGATCAGAGCAGCCTGGAAATCAAAGACTCCTGGACCATGTCAGAAGTCTCTGGAGCATATTTGAAAGTTGCCGACATTGGCCAAAGATTAAACAAATTGAGCATCAAATAGAATAATAACTTCAATGATGTTATTTAAACATCAAATAAGTTTAAAACCATCAGTTCAAGATAATAAACAAAAGAAAAATTAAAACCAAAAACTTACAGGTCACCTTTGGAGGAGTCTAAAGAACTGTTATTCTAAAAATCTGATGATAAAGGGGAAAAATAAATCACACATTTATCCAGTCTCTCTTTATGACCAAAGAGTTATAAAAGAAGTAAGTTAATTAAGGTAAAGTCCTTCTTTATAGAAATTTTCAGCTCATAAATGCAAAACAATAGAGTTAAAATATCACCATTTTGAAATACATAATAGAGCAATGGGATCAACCCAAAGTTCATCAATGAACAATCCATTAGATAGAAAGCTGATGGAAACTCTCATAATGGATACATCAGATGACAAGATAGAAAGCCACTGATCAATTCTAGCATCACAAAAAGGCAAGACAACCAAGCATTATGTGTCTCCTGATGTCACACAATAGTAAAATCAAAACATTTTTTGCAGCATTTTTATTCCAAAACTTGAAAAAGCCTCCTAATATAACTACTAGTTAACTGTAAATATAAAGGACAGAGAAAGATGTTAAATGACCATAATAGGGTACTTCTACACAACCTGACTTCTTCGCCAATAAACACACACACTCACACATGCACACACTCACGCACACACACACAAAGACCTATAGATGAAAAGAGATAAAAGAGATGTGTCAATCAAATATAATCATAGACTTTGGTTCCTAATTCAAACCAGTTTTTAAAAAATTATGTCAAAAAAAGTGAATGCTGACATTTGATGACTTAAGGAATTACTATTATTTGTTAGTATGGAAAGGATGCTTTGGGTAGTTTTTAAAAAGGAATATCTTTTAAGATGCACACTACCGCCCTGGCTGGTTGGGCTCACTGGATAGAGCGTCAGCCTGGGGACTGGAGGGTCCCGGGTTCGATTCTGGCCAAGGGCATGTACCTTGGTTGCGGGCACATCCCCAGTGGGGGGTGTGCAGGAGGCAGCTGATCGATGCTTCTCTCTCATCAATGTTTCTAACTCTCTATCCCTCTCCCTTCCTCTCTGTAAAAAATCAATAAAATATATTTTTAAAAAAAGATGCACACTACAGTTTTTACAGATAAAAATTATACATCTGCAATTTATTTCAAAATAACCCAGTGAGAAAGAAGTAGTGAACATCAGACTTATTATAATATTCTACTTTTGACTATACTTAAAAGTACACACACACACCAGAGGCAGGGGAGGGACAGATAATCTCCATCTAGGGTTAGTTATAGAATTCTGTGATCTGTGATAAAGGTACTGTTAACAGCTGTACCAATTAGGACATTTGGTGGTGAAGTTAAATAAAGATGTGTGTCCAAACTAAAATTAACATAGTAGAAAGAGGATCCTAAACCTATAGTCTAGTTTTTATTTTTTTAAATTCCAAGTATAAACCTACTCAGGGTTATGAAATCATCTTAGGAAATAATAAAAAGGCACTTTTTAAAAACTGAAATGGAATGAAAAGTAATGGAATAGAATTACTATAGGACAGTACATTGCTTGTGGGAAGTTTAAGTATTACTTCATGAAATGTGAGCTTTTTGCGTGCACATGTGTATTGGGTAGAAATGTAAAATATATTTCTTATTATGAACATAAGACACAGAAACATTTTTGCTATATTTTACTCAATATGAACAATACTAAGAAGGGAAATAGACCTAATAACATCGCATTTGAAAGGGCACTGAAGCTTTCAGCATTGTAAATTGTTTTATACCTTATCTATTTAAAACTAAACTGTCCTGCTCTCTATAGCAACAATCTTTGCATTTCAAGCATTCCATAAGACCAGTTTGCAGACATACGGAGAAGAAAAACCATAATCTCTGAAGGTAATACTCTTTTTTTTATCTGAAGGTAATACTCTTAGTTGTAATGTATCACAACTCTAACAATTCTGGCATCATGAGAATGACATAGCATAAAAACCCCAATTCTCGGTAAAAATAAGTACAATGTTTCTCTAAATTCCCTTAGTTTTCTATAATCTTACCAATAACTATTTAACTTTCATTTGAACTGGATTAGCTAAAATTTTCTTTTGTTAGGTATCACAGCCAGGGCAAAATTTGAAATTATCTGATGACAGCTGGGTAAAAGAGGAAATAAATCCTATGAGTGTTTTTTGCTATAGTGGCTTTATTTAACCTTGTAATATATCTGTTTTATTTTTAATTCAGAGAGTCCTGCTGACTTACAGTCAACTTGTTACCTACCGAACCCAGTATCTAATTTTTTTCCTCTTTGTCCATCTTTGTCTTTTTGCTGTAAAGTTTATTTGTATGGCCAGAATATAAATCCCCTTTTTCCTTACTGAACTTCATGTTATTTCTAACTTTGAAATCATAACCTAAGTTCCAAGATATAATTTGCTACTACTCTTTTTATTTAGTCCATATGAAAATACAGTAAACAAAGTACTCATATAATATCTAGCAATGTTCATGCATAGGATAAGAACACTCATAAAACAAGTATAAGAATACATTGTCACAAACAATGCAGATACAACACTAAAATTACTAAGTACTATTTTTAAAAGAAATTGCCAATCTGGTAGGTTATAATCATATTTGAATGTGCACCCTTTGATACTTATGAAGTTGAATAACTCTCCATACATTTGCCTACTAACTGAACTTTATCTTCTACAACCTTTGCCCAGCACCAATAATAGTATCTGGTACATAGCAGGCATTCAATAATTATGTGTTCAATGAATTAATGTATCTATTAAGCTTTTCTAATTTTTGTTTTCGTGTGTGTGTGTGTGTGCGTGTGTGTGTGTGTGTGTGTTTTAAGGGGGGAGAGTAAGATATCAATCCTTAGTATCATTTGGGCCAAATATTTACTTTAAGCCTTTCAAAATAAAATTTGGACTATTCTTCCCCAATCAGTTACAGAAAGGAAACAGAACATAATTTACCTTTTTAAAAAACTGATTCAGGATAATACCGGGATAGCAATTCAACTTTATTTGATAAATCATTTTTCTATAAAAAAAATTTTCAGGTACAGTAAGTTTCAATTGATGTATTAAAATATTTAATAGTTGAAGTATTTTTAAAAATACAACTTAACTGTATTAGATAATAAGTAATACAATGATAATTTCCCACATCTCTGAAATCTCTAATAACTACAAGGTTAGAATTCTGTGTGAGGTAAAATAAGGACTGTAATCATTTCAATATGAGAAGAACTAAATTCCACAATGAGGAAAGACATGTTGCAAAAAAAAAAAAAAACTCACTCAAATATTTTATCTTGAATCTTGATTAAATATGGCTTGATAGATAAAGGCTGCGATTCTCTTAAGGGAATAGAGTCCAATAAACTAAAGGCCTCTACAGATTTATACTTTATGGGAAGCACATTAAGCCATTCCTGTCAGCAACAGAATGACTCTCCCTTGCATACTCCCATTCAGCTTTCAGAAGCAGGACAGCAGCAACCCCATTTTCTGGGTGGTTTACTGGGGCGTATAACCTATTGATCAATGACACTTCCCCCCGTAAAGCAAACGGACATATCCAGGCCCAGGCCAACAACTCGCTAATGCTGCATTTTCTCCCAGAACATGTCCACCCTGTAAAGCCAGAGGTGTGGCTCAGGTTGTAAGGCTTCCTACATATTTTTACAATTTTCTTTTCTACATACATTTGAATATTTTATTTGTAATAGATACTTATATCCTAATAAATATAACAAATATATTTACATTTAATTCTAATGTAATATTCTAATACATTTCATATTCTAACATATAATCCTAGTAAAATAGTCTCTTCTCCAAAACTAAACCAAAAAAAAAGTAAAGACTCATTTCAGCCAACTAGGCTGCATTTCACCTAGTGACACTGCACCCACACTGAAGGTAACGCAGTTGACAACTGAGACACTCAGATCAAACATTTGGGGAGGAGTTTTCTTACTGGCAAGGATTCGCCTTCCCACGGTGTTCTTGTTAGCACTATTCTCCCCATTGCTCTGCCAGGGTTTCAACCAACAAGAATTTCTTGGCAGTTAATTCACAATTTCCACCCACCAAAGGAAACTGAACGAACCAAAGGCAACAACCAGCTACTTGAGAATTTTAAGGTGTTGTCTACCACGGAGCCATTCCACTGATTCATGTCCACGTTACTAAATGTAGAGAAGCCCCAATCATTTCAAGCTACTGTCTGGACACAAACACTGTAACTATATCTATCTTAAGGTTTAAGGGTTGACAATAAAAATCCCAATTTTTATGTATTTCTATACAAATCTCTCTTCACAAAAACGAGTTAGTTTCTGGTTTGCAAAGAATTTTACTATTTGTTCCTTAGTGTTTTAGTAAATGCTATTATAAAAATGAGCAAACAAATAAAGGATATGTCTCAAAGGTTTCATACATAGCATTTACACATATTTTACATTTTTAATTGCCTTCTTCCACACATTACCTCTTTTGATCTGTACAGCAACACCATGTGAGGTAAACAGGAGAAAATTATATTTCACAGTTGAAGAAGTCCAGCTCACAAACTGGACATTGTACCCAATGTCATGCAAGTAGAAAATAAAATAACCAAAACCCTAAACACAAGTTTTCTGTCTCTCTCATTATAACACACTGACTGTGTGTAAGTTGGGAGTTTGAACTCAATCTTCCCACAAAAGTAATATTATACATGGTGGTCTGGAGTCTAGACCAGTGGTCGGCAAACTCATTAGTCAACAGAGCCAAATATCAACAGTACAACGACTGAAATTTCTTTTGAACTTAAACTATATAGGTAGGTACATTGCTTTTTAAACTTAAACTATATTGGTAGGTACATTGTTATTAACATAATTAGGGTACTCCTAAACTGGCCTTTGCTAAAAACATCCTCAATCTGAGGGGTCGACCTCAGCGAATGTACCCCCACTTCTTCTAACACCACTTCTTCAAAATAAACTCGCCCAGGCCGAAAACCGACTTCTGCGCATGGGCCACGAAGTTTCAATCGCACTGTATGTGTGCGCCCGCACGTGGTATTTTGTGGAAGAGCCACACTAAAGGGGCCAAAGAGCCGCATATAGCTCGCAAGCCGCGGTTTGCCATCCACTGGTCCCAGTGGTTGGCAAACTCATTAGTCAACAGAGCCAAATATCGACAGTACAACGATTGAAATTTCTTTTGAGAGCCAAATTTTTTAAACTTAAACTATATAGGTAGGTACATTGTTATTAACTTAATTAGGGTACTCCTAAGGGTTAGGAAGAGCCACACTCAAGGGGCCAACGAGCCGCATGTGGCTCGCGAGCCGCAGTTTGCCGACCACGGGTCTAGACTAACCCACAAAGACTTTTAACTCACAGAGTCTGAGCTATCAAAAAGTGGCTATAATACTCAATGCCTAAAAATGGACATCCATGGGGTGACCCTAACTTACATGGATGAGATCATTTCCTTGGTAATAAGTACACCATATACTAGAGAGAAAAGACCCCTATTCAGATGAAGCATTGGCCAATCTTCCCAATGCCCATCCTCTGAGGAAGCAGCTGTACCTCAGAGCAGGAATGCATTGCAGAATCGCTGACACATCTCTTTCCTTCTTTCTGCCCCCAGTGGCCAGTTTCTCATCACCGGTGAAGATATAAGAATACAGTGGAGCCCTAGCTGGTTTGGCTCAATGGATAGAGCGTCAACCTGCGGACTAAAGGGGGTCCCAGGTTGGATTCCAGTCAAGGGCACGTGCCTGGGTTGAGGGCTCGATCCCCAGTGGGGAGCATGCAGGAGGCAGCCAATCAATGATTCTCTCTCATCATTGATGTTTCTATCTCTCTCTCCCTCTTCCTTCCTCTCTGAAATTAATATATATATATATATATATATATATATATATATATATTTTTTTTTTTTTTTAAAAAAAAAGAATATAGTGGAGCTATAGAAACACTAGATGCTTTCTGGGATTCTGGAGCCATCACTCTCAATCTGTAGTAGAAGCCGTTTGTTTCATATAGATTAGATCTGTATAAGAAGTACCGATAGCTGAAACGGTGAACAAGTTTCACTTCTTATTCCAGTCTAACTTATGAGCACTTGGATGGGAGTGATCCAGAGACTGCAACAGGGATCAGAGGGGAGAAGAGTGGACGGGCACAGCACGTAGGCATGATTAGTCAGGAGCTTTCTTCTTTATTGTGTACCCAACTTAGAATAATGAAATCAGAAAGAAGTGATTGTAATTTTTAGATATATTCATTTTATTGTTCAAAAAGTAGGGAATTAAGAGGAAAACATGATTAAGTCATTGCAATTCTTGCCTCTCATTTCCAAAAGGTATCTTCTCCTACTTACCAGGCACACACACTAATTCTTCAAATGAAGGTTTCTCTGACAGCCATGAAAACCACAAAAACTGTTCCCTACAGGCCGGCTGTAAGGAAAAGACGGGAATCCCATGTCCTGACGGAGCAAATACCTCTTCCTCCTTCCCTTTCTTTGGACTATGGAATAGGAAACACTGACTAACAAGGTACCAGAGATTTCATACATTCTAAACATCCCTCACTCCTTATATCTCCCCAAAATATAAACCAGGTTTCCTGTATGCGAAGAGACTGTGACAGTGTGGTTTCTGAGACTGGCTGAGCATCAGAATCACATGGGATGTTTAAAAATAAAACGAAGAGGTTCCACCTGACACAGAGGTGGGAAAGAGGAATCTGTAATTTCCTATCACTCCACAGAAAATTTTGATCATCAAAGACAGCATAGAGGAAAGAACCCCGGATAGTTCATACTTAGCAGCCAGGCATCCTGTACTGTTCCCAAACCTCTGGGAAGCCTTCCAGGACACCCTTTACGCCCACATCCAGGTTATATGCCCCCACACACACATCCTCACCCATGTATTCCCACAGCATCCTGGATGGCATCCACCTTAGGAAATCAGAGCTCTTAACCTATTGGCTCTCCATTGAAGCTTTTAAGTCTAGATAACCATTAATTAACAGTCCAAACTCAAAAACATGACAGGTATATAAGGTGAATTTATTAAGGAAAAAATATATACCACTAAGTTGAATATTTATTTAATAAAGTACTTACTTCCACAATCATCTTTAATATCTATAGTAGCAAGTGGCATATCTACCAGAGAATCCATAGCATTGGCTTCAAATTCTTCTGACATTTTCTTTCTCCCCGCCATATTTTCACATTCACTGGAATTCACTTCTTCTTTAGCATACCACAAAAAAGAAAAACAAGTTATTTAATTTAAAACTTATATGCTAAGCTAAAACAACTCAACTAAATAAATTCAATAAAAGTTAACATGTTAAACTCCCAGAGAAAGTCTACTCCTGATCTAAAAATTCATCTTTGGGGTAAAGAATTAAGGGTTCAAAGGCTGTAAGTTCATGAGGACAGAGGGAGCCAGGCTGGCACTGGACTGTGCCCGTCCACAGCTGACAGATTCCAACAGGAAGTGTATTTAAATTCTCTGTAGACAATGCTGGGCAGGGAAGGAGAGGGTTGGGTTATGATGATACAGGTTACTGTGTTTTAACCAGTGGTTGTGGGGCAGGGGTGCCTGGAGGAAACCAAGTCACTGTTCCCTTTTTGAAACAAAACTAAAACCTGAAAATTTTTGTTCAATGAAAATGGGTATAATTTGATTGTCCCTAGCCATAAGGGGCCAGTTCCACTGAGAAATGAACAGTGGGGACTCAAAATTTTGCAAACATCTGGGGCAAGGGATAATTGGCTTTCTGTTAATTAGCAAATGTTCCAATGGGGCTTCGTTTTTTGTTGGGGAGTATTACATTGTAGGTGCACATGTGGACCAGAGTCTCTGCTGAGGTTATAAAGCTCAGAAAAGATGGTTGATAAAATCTTGACTTTTGTTAATTTATCTCAATAAAGCCCACTGGAACTAAAAAAAAAAAAAATTTAACATGTTAAGAAATGATAGCCTTGACATTCCCCTGAATGTCAAGGTCGGGGGGGAAAAAAGGAGACATATGTAATACTCTTTGTAATACTTTAAGCAATAAAAAAAAAAAGAAATGATACCACTTGTATCCAAATATATTGTAAAACTACTTATACAATGTGTCCCAGAGTCTATTTTTTTATAAATGCATTTTTATATTAAATAACTTTAATAATTTTCTATAGAACTGTATTCAAATAAGGGTAAGATGAAGACTTAGTTAATCAATAATCCTCGAGATCATTTATAGCTATATTTTCTTAATTCTAAACCTATACTTTTTCACATACCTTTTGAAAACAAACCAACAAGGTTTTGTCAGTCTTTTTCATGTTTACTTTTTAACAACTATCACTATGTATTCTCATTTGTATAAGTTCTGACCTTTATTTTTTTTCTTCAATAAAGACTTTTAAATCTTTCCTCTCCATTATTATATTAACACTGGAAATTCAGTAAAAAATATTTGACTCTAAATATGCTTTCCTGGAAATTCAATGATTAAAAAGCAAAAGATCTTGCTCTGGCCTGGTAGCTCAGTTAGAGTGCCATCCAAATACCCCAAGATTGCAGGTTCCATCCCCTTTCAGAGCACATACAATAATCAACCAATGACTGCATAAATAAGTGGAATAACAAATCGATGTTTCTCTCTCAGTCTCTCTCACACTCTCTCTCTCTTTTCCTTCCTCTCTCTAAATTCAATAAATAAGTAAATAATCTATACTAATAATAGAAGAATATGCAAATTGTCCCAGACGCCATCACAGTAATAGTAATGACCAAACAGCAGACTGTGTGGGGTGACCAGGCCAGCAGGGCGGTAAGGGACAACCAAACGACTGAACAGCAGGCTGCGTGGGAAGACCAGGCTGGCCAGGTGGTGAGGGGCAGTTGGGGGCAACCAGGTCAGTGGGTGTGGGGGGGGCAGTTGGGGGTGACCAGGCCGGCAGGGAGTGCAGTTAGGGATGATCAGGCAGGCAGGTGAGCAGTTAGGAGCCAGCGGTCCCAGATTGGAAAGGGTGCAGGCTGGGGTGAGGATACGCGCCCCCTCCCCCCCCCCCCGCATGAATTTCGAGTACCGGGCCTCTAGTTTTAATATATTTTTATTGATTGCAGAGAGGAAGAGAGGATAGAAACATCAATGATGAGAGATAATCATTGATCGGCTACCTCCTACACACCTCCACTGGGGATTGAGCCCTCAACCCAGGCATGTGCCCTGACGGGGAATCGAACCATGACCTCCTGGTTCATAGGCCGATGCTCAACTGCTGAGCCATGCTGGCTGGGCTAAATTTTTTTTTTTTTAAAAAGGCAAAAGATCTTATAATTTACTATGTGTCTAATCATAAGCTCACAACTATTTGAAATATGTAAAAACCAGTCACAGTTTCCTTTCTATTTTTATACTTGCATTGAACACCACAGTTTATACTTACATAAAAGTTTTAATAGAGCAATACAAAAGTTTTAATAGATAAATGAATACCTTTTACCTTTGGGCACATACAACTACACATAACGGATCATCACTGACCATGTAGCGTACAGCTGCAAAGCAAGCAACAAAGAGTAGTAGTTGTGCAACTGAATATGCACAAGGTTGTCCTAGTTGAAAAATTCTAAATCCTGGCTGCCCATTAGAATCACCTGAGGAAGTTTTTAAAATTACCAGCGTCTGGTCCCACACCAGGCCAACTAACTCACAATCTCTGGGGATCAGGCTGGCTTCCAGTATGTTTTTTAAAGCCTCGCAGGGTGAGTCTAATGTGCAATGAAAGTTTGAAAAACACTGCCCCAGAAAATCCCTTCACCTCTTCCATTCTTTGTTCTACCTCAGACTAAAGAGACTGTGTGTTAACAGTTGAGAACAATCCATTTAGAGGTTAAAACTCAAATCAGATGTTTACTATCAGTGAAAACTTTCCTGATCCCCAACTCAGCACCAAGTCAGGTAATCCAGTTACTTAGTGCTTCCTCCTGTCGCAGCACTCGCACCACATGTCCACAGGTCTGTCTTTCTCATTAGACTCTAAGCTAAAGGGACTATATAGTTTACCACCCAAACCCAGACACTTTTGGAAGTGAAAGGGGGAGCTTTTCATAATTACACCCCTATCAATATGGTCGCCTTAGTCTAAGCTCCTTAAGTGCCCTGTCTTATTCTCCTTTGATTCCTCAATGCCAACAACAGGAGGTGATCAATACATTTGTACTGAATGACTAAATAAAGGTAAGCACACATTTGGGAGTGGATAATAAATTACTCAAGATACACTGCCATATAGATATCTCAATGCCCATGAGGAAATAACTCCTGGTGTTTAAAGGCAGCTTCAGCACATCACAGATTCTCATTTTCACAGGGTGAATGAAGGAAAGGTACTACTATCCTATACAACATAAAAATGTTGAAGCATAATATGACTTGCTCAACATCATTCTCCATCTTTTTTCCACTGATTTTTAGAGAGAGTGGAAGGGAGGAGGAGAGACAGATAGAGAAACATTGATGTGCGAGAGTCACATCGATTGGTGGCCTCCCGAAGGGGCCCGACCAGGGCCAGGGATCAAGCCTGCAACCGAGATATGTGCCCTTGACCAGAATTGAACACGGGACCCTTTAGTCCACAGGCCGATGCTCTATTCACTGAGCGAAACCAGCTAGGGCCATTCTCCATCTTTTTAAATAAAGCATATTAACAAGGCATACTCTTGAATGCAATGTTATGTCAAAATACACAAGTCTAGAATGTGAAATATAAACTTTATTCCATTAAATTACAGAATACTTGAAACCATTTTGTAGATATGAATTATTAACTCAGGAAAAAGTCCATACCACTTCCAAGTAACTCTTGAAAGAACTGCTGGTCATTTATAGAGCAATTTTTCTCAACCTAGAAGCCTTCCTCCAATTCTCTAAGCTTTAGTGTTAGGCAAAAGCTAGCAGACATGACTTAAACACATCCATCATAACTACACTTTCTTTTACAGAAGGTGTAAATATTTTGCTTTTGGAAAACTGCCTTAAAATAACTGACCCTTAAGTAAAGCACTTAAACCATAAATTGATTGCTCTGAGTACTTAAAATTTGTTCTAGCCATATTTAAAATAAAATTCCATCTTTTGTGCAAGTCCAAATAAAAGCAATGCTTCTAAGTGCACTAATAACACAAAGATGAGGTCAAACTGGCAAACTACTACTACTAACAACAGCTAATATGGAGCCTGTACTATATGCCAAGCACAGCCAGAAGCACTTTACAGACAGTAACTCCTTTCATCCACAGAACTATGCTATCAGGGAGGTACTATTATTTTACCGATTTTTACAGACTAGCCAATTAAGTAACTTGCCCAAGGTTACAGCCAGGTCTGGGGTTGGAATTTAAGTCCAGTCATTCTGCTGCCAAACCTGCTCCTTCCAGCAACATGTACCGCTGCCTCTTAATAGACACAGTTTATAGCGCTGTAAATTGAAGTAATCCTTTCAGAAAGCAGTCTGGCAACAGACCAGGAGCCATGAAAATGTTCTTCTTACTGCTATATCTGGGTATCTATCATATACAGTATGCTGCCATAGATTCCCCACAGCTTTGTTTAAACAAAAAAGAAAAAGTGGAACCGCTTAAATGCCTAATAGGAATATGGTTACACCAAGCATACTCACACTAATGACAATTAAGAGTAATGGCTATGAAGACTGCAACAACCAAAAAAAAAAAAAAGTTGATACCAAATACTGACTTTTTAAAAAGCAAATATAATACTATGATTACAATTATGTAAGAAAAGGCTAAAGGATATAAATATCTAAATGCTGACATAGTTGCCTTCAATGTATTTGTATTTTCCCACTTTCTGCTATTCAAATGTTTTTAAATATAATTAATATTAATTTTGTAAGAAAATAATGTCTACACTTAAAATACATTATAAAACCATACATCAACTATAGACTAATATTCAAATACATGTGCACTTCAGCAAATGAGTTCATCATAGACAGGCCAATTGGGGGCGGGGGGCGGGGGGGACAGACAGTTTGCACTTTGTCACACAAATGCAGGCTTGTATCTATACTAATAAAAGGGTAATATGCAGGTACTATGCTAATTAGACCAGGTGACTGGCCATCTTCTGGACATCTGGCTTTCTTCTGGACAAAGCCACAGTGGTGGGGAACGGAGGCAGAAGCGGTTAGGGGCCATCAGGCTGGCAGGGGAGGGCAGTTGGGGGCCATCAGGCTGGCAAGGACATCCCCCAAGGGGTCCCAGATTGGAAAGGGTGCAGGCCGGGCTGAGGGACACCACCCCCTGTGCACGAATTTCGTGCACCAGGCCTCTAGTTTGGATAATAAAGCCTGACTTTATTAAGCCAGACTTCTATTTTTTCTGCTAGATATACACATTGGGTATAGCCCCCAAGAACCAATGGAAAGGGTCCAAGCCATCCATGCTAGTCCTGGCTTAGCTAGTAAAAATAGTAACATCTTTCATCTGGATAAAGGCTGAGAACTATGTGACAATCAACAAGTCGCTTGACCTCCATGCTTTGGTTTCTTCATCATAAAAGTAAAAGTACAACCCAGTGTCTAGAGAGAAATGGACGAAATAAGACAGTAATATTTGAAGAGAAATGTAAGGAAACAGTAACCTCCCCAAACATCTTAAACTTTAAAATGAGTATGGAAAAGCCCAGATAAGCTATCTCAAAAACTCAAACTCTCTGAACCCACCCACAAGGCCTTAATCATTTCATTCCCACGACAATTGTAAACATAAGTACTTACACCAGTTAACAGCTATTATATAATACAATTAACATTGTAATGCTTTTTAGCTCTCTGTACGCCTTTACAAAGAGCTCACAGAAGAGCACCTTTTCTCTAATTGGGAGCCTATACACCAAGTTCTATTCACAGAGAGTGCACACTTCAGCTGGAAATTGATTCTGAGTCCTACCACTGACTTGGCGCCAGTTTAAAAAGGTCCTTTTCAAACACTTAGGATAAAATCCTCAACGACACTCTGTGGTCAGGTCTTTCACGTGTGTGAGAGAGGATAAAAGAGGAGCTTCTCTGAGCATAGTGCTGCTCAAACCCCGGAGGGTGTGTGTTGCCATGAAGTCGGTACTAGGGTCACAAGATCAGACGGGAAACGCAATTGAAACTTGGGGTGGTCCCATCGCCCCCGTTGCACCCACAGTGCATGCACTAAAGCGCTTCGCGACGAACAGCACCGATCCCGCCGGCGGCTCGGGGCTCCTCCGAGGTAAGCGGAGGGAGAGGAGCATCCGCGCGGGGCGGGCGTGGGGTCGCGCGCGCTCCAAGCTCTGTGTTTGGGGCGCGGGGCGAAGCGGGCCCTCCCCAAGGCCGAGCGCTGAGCGGGGCCCACGCCCCCAGGCTCCGATCGCCCCCCTCAGCCGCTGGGCAGCCCCGGCTCACCCGCTTCGGGGCGCTCCATGGTGCCGGCGCGAGCGGGTCGAGCGTCCGGTGCAGGCGGCAGCCTTAGCGGCCGGGCTCAGCGGCCCCG